ATACCACAGAATCATACAGATAACGCTAGGTGTGTTGGCATCGTCCTTGCAGCGACACGATCCCCTCAGGAGGTGTTCGATGGAATGTCCTTAGACTCGGAAGTCCAGAAAGCGCTAGTCTCATTGCTGCCGTCTACTGCCTTTTTCCGCTTCTTAATGGTTTTTATACTGCTTCGGAACAGAGGTTTCGACATCAAGGCGACCTAGTAAGTCGACAACGCGTAATAAGCTCTCGAATCCTTTCAGACATTGGCAGAATGCGACATTTTGCTAACTTCAAGATCAACAGGTTCCCTTTCGAAAGATCGGTATAAATACGACCGTTGCCCGCAGCTTTCATATTTCCCCGCAGATACTCTTCTTCGATTGTGCAAGTGAACGAGGTGATGAAGCAGTCTATAACCTCTCCGGTTGGGGCATCGCAAGCCAAATCAGCATACCATGACTTGGGGTCCTTCAACGGGAGTCTCGAATCTGACTCGACATCTGATTACTGCCGTCGCCCCTCAGTAGTATATCGTGGCAGAATTAATGGACAAGAACGGCGAGAGGTTTTGAATTTTGTCGCTTGTCAGTCGAAGTCGCGGCAAAGCAAGATGGGCACGCAAGTCGACATCATCCTAGACAAAGCTTGACATGAAGGCAACAGTCTACCGCATGCGCTTGCATTGGTTCTTACAACTTGTCATTGCTGGTGGCCAGGGCAGTGTTATATACTACTGAAGCAGGTCTACAATGGTCCTCAAGGGGCTCGTTACGAAAGTGGTGAAGGCGGCACCATCGCTCTCAATGTCTCGTGTACTATATAACTCAATCCCCATGGTCAAGAACCAACTCGGCAGAATCTTGTGTCTGGGTACGGGCTATCATGTCTCTCCACCTGTGACTGTGCTTACTCTTACTTTCGATGCGTTTAGACTGCTTTGAGAGGCGTCCACACTGTCTGTACCTCCTCAATATCCCTCTTCTCCCAGCTCTGGCATCGTCCCTTGTGTTAACGTTCTTCGCATACACGAACAACGCAGTGCCCATCGCAACTTGTCCATGCTGTTGTGCTATCTAGAAGTCGCCTCTTTCGAAGTTCGCAGCTCTCAGCTGCGGCTTGATTAACGGGCGTTACCGTGGGCCGTCATTGAGGCTTTCCAAGTGCAAAGGATGGCGAAAGTGCCCAAAAAATAGTGGTTCTCAGCTGCTATACGGAATACTAGATAAATACCAACATTCTGCATGACCTTAGTCGCACAAAATCAGTGTAGTGCCCAAGCCTCCAGCTTGAAAAGAGCCAAGACGGTATAAGTATTTGGCCACGCGTCGGCATTGCGTGTTGTGAGCTTCGGAAACTAGTCAAACTGATTTGAAAGTCTTCTTCGTCTTTAATTCCCGTGGATTACGGGAAAATCAACCCACAGAAATGTCGGAAAATGATATAGCGTCATGACACACTGGACATTCACAATCATCAGCCGCCAACACAAGTTTCACCGACGCTGCATGATTCTCCAGCTTGGAGTAGAGTTGATGAAGCCACAATCAACGCCGGACAGACAGGCATTGAAGATTGTCTGCTTCAGAGATGAACTGTGGATCTCCACGTTTTATATAATCCGTGTGTATAGCTGCGAAGGCTAATCGTGAGCTTGATGACTTGAGTTCCTCGTTAGGTCGTGGCGCCCTTGAAAGACAACGAAGAGACCCTTCATCTTGCCGTGTTTCTTTTAAAGGGTCCAGTCAGATCCGGGACGGGATCCCTCACAAATCTTTCGAGCTTTTGCCTTCGTTCTGATCTGGCGATGATTTCGATCAGGGGAGTATGAAGTCACGTATAACGCCGTCCAGGACGTCAACTTCACCACGCTTATTCCATACACCTCGGTTTCCCATCATCGCTGGTGTCCGTCTATTCGTGATTAGTAAAGTATGAAGACAATAACATGGCCGTCGTGGACATTTTGCAGCCTACTAGGTTGATATAGTGCTCGATTGATGCAGTTTTCTTTGAAGACTTGGATCTATGTCCGGGCACAGAACTTCAAAAGGAGATATTTGTGAGAAGGCAAGCAATGTCCGACGTGGCTTCAGCGTCAATATATACCTAATATGATTTCATACTGAGTAAGTCTTGATGAGTTCGAGCACTTCAGAAGTTCAGCTCCTCTAACTACAGACTCTGAGCAAAAGTCGTGACAAACCAGCTGATTTTCATCAATTGCACAAGCTCAGCATTGTATCAAGGACATGTCTTCGAATACTGGACGATTAGACTTTGAAGCGTTCCAGCCTGGACGTCGAGTAAATGAGTCCCTCACGGCTCCGGACTGATGGAGTTGCCCAGTCGTAGCTCAAGACGAATTCGACCAGCCGGGTGCACAATGTCAATTAGGACCACCAGCCATTGATGCCTAGTCTTCACCAAGTCCGCCATCGTGCCTCAACCCGACGCGAGATCTCAGTCTCATCAAAACTCCATCGACGTTGCTCACCACTCACCTGACCACCCACAACACCTGCATGCTGACATAAATCTGGGCTGCAGACGCAATCGACCCCCAATGCTACTCACCGCACTTCGATCGCAAATGTGACGACAAACCTTGGCAGCATACATGCTCACAGCCTGCATCAAGCCCACGCCGTAAATACGACGATACTCACCACTCAATCCCGCCCGCGGACAGACGCCCCCCAATCTCCTCGCGCAGATTTACCCCGACATCCCCTCAACCTGGAGAAATCGCGGGGAAATTGTGTCCATCTCCAACCCCCACTGCGACGTCCAACCACACAACACCATAGAAATAGCAACCACCAACCGCATACCGCTTCTCGAAAAATGGCACGCCTCACAAAGTCTCACGATGGCACGCTTCAGCTGGCTGCTGGCCATCCTCACCTTGGCCCAGGCCATTGAGCCGTCGCCATCACGGCCCTGGGAGTCTTACATCAAATCCCCGTCAACCCGCCTCGTCCCCCCAAAACGGATCCACACCATCACCTCCAACGCCGAGGTGACGACCGCCCACGATGGATCCTACATCCTCACACTCCCCGCAAACTCCCAAGTCTCCCTCGAGTTCCCCTACGTCGGCGGACTCATCTCCCTAAACACGTCAACATATATCACCAACATCACCACCCCGAACTTCTCCCTCGCCTTCGCCGAGTCCCCCTCCTTCGTCCGCGAGATCTCAGACGACACAGGCGCCGTCCCGACCCAAGACTACGACAAGGCCCTCAACGTCACCCTCACCCCGTCCCAGACCTCCTACAAGATGCCTACGGAGCGCTTCCGCGGCGGCTTCAAGTACCTCACCATCCACGCCTTCGCCCCCGTCACCCTGTCCAACATCATCTGCCACCTCGCCTACTCCCCCTCCCAGCCGGACCCCTCCGCCTACAACGGCCACTTCCACACTCCGGACGATGACCTCCTCACCCGCGCGTGGTACGCCGGCGTCTTCACCGCCCAGACCAACATCGCGCCCCCCAACACCTCCCGCCACCTGCCGCAGGTTAACCCCGGCTGGGCCTACAACGCCACCCTCGGCGCCGGGGGCCCCATCCTCCTCGACGGCGCCAAACGCGACCGCGCCGTCTGGCCCGGCGACCTCGGCATCGCGGGGACCACCGCCTACCTCGGCCTCGGCCCCGTCGGCCTCGAATCCGTCTACTACGCCCTCGAGACCATGTTCATGTACCAAAACGCCACCACCGGCGCTCTCCCCTTCGCCGGCCCGACCACCGGGTCCTGGCGCCGCGGTGCACGCAGCGACACCTATCACGCCTGGACCCTCATCGCCTGCTTCAACTACGCAATCTTCACCAGCAACGCCTCCTGGGTCGACGCCCACTGGCCCGGCATCTCCTCCGGCGTGTCCTACATCCTCCGCGCCCTCGACGCCAACCCCGTCGGCCTCGCCGAGCAGGTCGAGCCGAACGACTGGGCCCGCCTCGGCGGCGGCGGCTTCAACTCCGCCCTCAACGCCCTCAACCACCACGCCCTCGTCTCCCTCGCCTCCCTCGCCGCCGCCACCTCCCGCCCGGCCGACTCCCACGCCTGGTCCGCAGCCGCCGCCCGCCTCAAGACCGCCTACAACACCGTCCTCTGGGACCCCGCCGCCTCCCTCTACCGCGACAACGAGACCGAAGCCGGCGCCCTCCTTCACCCGCAGGACGGCAACGCCCTCGCCCTACTATTCAACCTCACCACCTCCCCATCCCACGCCGCCGCCCTCTCCGCCGCCCTCACCCGTAACTGGAACCCCATCGGCCCCGTCACCCCCGAACTCCCCGACACAATCTCCCCCTTCATCTCCAGCATCGAGGTCCTCGCGCACTACGCCGCCGCCCGCCCCCTCCGCGCGCTGCGCCTCATGCGCCGCACCTGGGGTTACATGCTTGACGCGCCGCAGATGACGGGCGGCGAGACCCTCGTCGAGGGCATGTCAGCCAACGGCTCGCTGTACTACCGCTCGCGCCGGGGCTACAACTACGACGCCGCGTACACCTCCCTCTCGCACAGCTGGTCTACGGGGCCGACGCAGGCGCTGAGCTTCAAAGCCGTCGGGCTGGAGGTCGTCGGGTGGAAGAGGTGGGTGTTCAGGCCGATGCTGGGCGATTTGAAGAGCGCGAGGGCGGCATGGGGTGATGGCGGTGGCACTGTAGGGGAGTTTGGGGCCGTTGTTGAGGCGAGAGGGGATACGATTGAGGCGGAGGTCTGGACGCCGGAGGGTACATCAGGTGAGATTGAGTTGGGATGCGAAGATGTGTTTGTTGATGGGAGGAGATTGGACGGAGTTGCTGAAGGTGGGAAGATGAAAGTGAGAGGGGAAAATTGTCGTGTTAGTTGTTAATGAAAGCGTGAGCCTCTTTCACAAAAAGAAAAGACACTTTTACAGCCATTTATAATTGAAATGAGCACGAATCACCCAAGGACTGACTCTAAGAAGATGTGACGATAATCATCGTTATTCAAAGAGATAACGAGAATGCAAAAAATATATTGCCCCCTCACGGGATTGAACCGTGGACCTTCGCATGACGATGTGCGTACGAGTGCGACGCTCTACCACTGAGCCAAAAGGGCTTGCCGAAACATTCAACCGATTTCGGATGGGAGAGTGGTCCAGAAGTCGGCTTATGAATCGCGTGTCTCCGGTCGTCAGGGTGGTCCGCGTGGGGTCAATCGCGGGGCTTTGCCTTCGATCGCCGGTAGATCTTAGGGCTGTCGCGATTGAGGCTGCGATGAGTCAGGTTGGGCGCTGCGTTGCAAAGCTCGTCCGAAACATTACATCGAAGCTCCAGGATTTAGGATTAGTAAACGCTTGATGGACAGGCGCTCGCTGAAATTCTCATGCCTCACTTCGTCGTAGCGCCGTTGGCCTCTGAGGGGACACACAAAAGATATCACAATAGGACCATGATTAACTGTTTTAACCGTTCCAATTCTGGCGTCTACCTCATCTGTCTCATGATCATGACGGGCTAACTAGAATACACCCATGCTTCTAAGCTGGGGGAATTATGGAAACATTCCGAAACCTTAAAAAACCGAAAACCGTCCAACTCCAATGAACTTTTCTCTGGTATCCGTATCATTCCAAACCCATTTAGTCAACCTCCTCCATGGCGCTGTCGCCGGTCTCGACGGCAGGCGCGTCGGCGGCGGGAGCACCCTCGGTCTTCTCCTCCTCCTCATCGATATTGAGGCCGAGCTGGACGAGCTTGTGGATGCGCTCGGCGAAGCTGGCGGGCTCGTCAATGGTGAAGCCAGAGACCAGCAGGGAGGTCTCGAAGAGGAGCTGGACGATGGACTTGACGGTGCGGTCATTCTCGCCGTCGTTCTCGACCTTGGTCTTGAGCTCCTGGATGATGGAGCTCTTGGGGGAGATCTCAAAGGTCTTCTTGGAAGACATGTAGGAGGACATGGAGGTGTCACGGAGGGCCTGGGCCTTCATGATACGCTCCATGTTGGCGGACCAACCGAACTGGCCGGTACGGATGGCGCAGGGAGCGCCGACGAGCTTGTGGGAGACGACGACCTTCTCGACCTTGTCGCCGAGGACGTTCTTGAGGGCCTTGGCAAGACCCTCGTACTCCTTCTCCTCCTTCTCGCGCTTCTCCTTCTCCTCCTCGGTCTCCTCGAGCTCGAAGTCCTTGGTGATGTCCACGAGCTTCTTGCCCTCGAACTCCTTGAGCTGAGTCATGGCGTACTCATCAATGGGGTCAACAAGGAAGAGGACCTCAAAGTTCTTCTCCTTGAGGGAGTCAAGGAAGGGAGACTTGGTGACGGCCTTGATGGACTCGCCAGTGATGTAGTAGATGTTCTTCTGGACCTCGGGCATGCGGGTGACGTAGTCGGAGAGAGAGGTGAGCTCGTCGCCAGACTTGGTGGAGTTGTAGCGCAGGAGCTTGGCGAGGAGGTTGCGGTTCTGGGAATCCTCGTGGATGCCGAGCTTGAGGTTCTTGGAGAAGGCAGAGTAGAACTTGTCGAACTGCTCCTTGTCCTCGGCGATCTCCTGGAAGAGCTCAAGAGACTTCTTGACGATGTTCTTCTTGATGACCTTCATGATCTTGTTCTGCTGGAGAGTCTCACGGGACAGGTTGAGGGGAAGGTCCTCAGAGTCGACAACACCCTTGACGAAGCCGAGCCACTCGGGGATGAGGTCGGTGGCGTCGTCGGTGATGAAGACGCGGCGGACGTAGAGCTTGATGTTGTTCTTGGTCTTCTTGGTCTCGAACAGGTCGAAGGGAGCGCGCTTGGGGACGAAGAGGATGGCGCGGAACTCGAGCTGACCCTCGACGGAGAAGTGCTTGACGGCAAGGTGGTCCTCCCAGTCGTTGGAGAGGGACTTGTAGAAGGAAGCGTACTCCTCCTGGGTGATGTCCTGGGGGTTGCGGGTCCAGATGGGCTTCTGCTTGTTGAGCTCCTCCTCCTCGATGGAGGTCTCCTTGACCTTCTTGGTCTTGGGCTTCTTCTCCTCCTCGTCGTCGTCAACCTCCTCGACCTTGGGCTTCTTCTCGTCGCCCTCCTCGGTGGTCTCCTCGGTGGCGTCCTCATCAGGGACCTCCTTCTCGGTCTCCTTGGTGACGTGGAGGTAGATGGGGTAGGAGATGAACTCGGAGTGCTTCTTGATGACCTCCTTGATCTTGGACTCGTTGAGGTAGTCGGTCTGCTCGTCCTTCAGGTGAAGGATGATCTTGGTGCCGCGGCCAAGGGCCTCACCCTCGGTGTCGGGGGTGATGGAGAAGGTGCCGCCGGCGGACGACTCCCAGATGTACTGCTCGTCGTCGTTGTGCTTGGAGACGACGGTGACCTTGTCGGCGACGAGGTAGGCAGAGTAGAAACCAACACCGAACTGACCGATCATGGAGATGTCGGCACCGGCGGTGAGGGCCTCCATGAACTGCTTGGTGCCGGAGCGGGCAATGGTGCCGAGGTTGTTGACGAGGTCCTGTGGGAGTCAGCAGCTGAAGGTGAATTGGGAAGTGCAGGTCTACTTACAGCCTTGGTGAAACCAATACCGGTATCGCGGATGGTGAGGGTCTTGTTCTCCTTGTCGGGGATGATGTCGATCCTCAGGTCCTTGCCCGAGTCGAGCTTGCTGGGGTCGGAGAGGGACTCATAGCGGATCTTGTCCAAGGCATCAGAGGCGTTGGAGACAAGTTCACGAAGGAAGATCTCCTTGTTTGAGTAGACGGTGTTGATGATGAGAGACAGGAGCTGAGAGATCTCAGCCTGAAACTCGAAAGTCTCGGGGGAAGACATTGTGATGGAGGATTTGGGTATCTAGGGCGTAACAGTCGTGATTCTGGAGAGGTTTGTTAGCTGGTGTTGCAAACGGCCGGGGTGGTTGGCGGTGAATGGCGGGGTAGAGGGGTCAAGACGAAACCGAGAGACGAACGGAATCGACAGTCTCTGGACAACAATTCTGGGGAGGATGGGATGCAATTGTGAAGCTCGTCGACGAGGCTGATGACGATTGCGACAGAAAATGCAAGCCAAAAAGTGAAAGAGGGGTGGCGTTTCTAGATGCTTGGGCGAGGGACCGGGAACGAGGGGCAGCGGGAGGAGCAACAGCGGCAGGAAGCAGCTTCTTACCTTGATGAACAAATCTTCTACGATGCGGCAGGTGTTTCGCTGCTCTGATCGAGATGGGACGTAAGAGAAGAATGTGAAAAAAGAGAAGAGAGGTGTGTGATGTGAGGAAAAGAATTGAGAGAAACAGCGACTTGGGGAAGAGGAGGAGGCTAAAAAAGAAACCCGTCTGGCCCAAAGCAGCGACGCTCACCCCCCAGCTCAGAAATTCTATGCGATTCCATCACCTCCAGGCCTTCCAGACCCTTCTCTGATTCGCTTGCCCTGCCACCACAGCAACCGTGCGGGGGGCTTGATTGGCTGATCTGAGGGCCACCTTTAGCGGGCTGGATGGAGATGCACCACCGGGCCACTGCCTACCAGTGTATGGGCCATGGTCCCTTCCAGCAGATGGAAAAAAAGAGAATGGGAAGGCGCCTTCTGCGATTGCCCATTCCCCATTGTCCGCCTTTCATTTGTCTGCCTGCCAGTGCCTTTTACTGTGCCATTGCCACCAAGGGAGCTGAGCTGGAGCTGCCTTTGCCAATGCCTCACAGACGTCCAATAGAACAAGCAAGCAAGCATACACAGCTTTCACAGCTCGTCGACGTCCTTCTACGCAGTATCTAGGTAGGCTTGCCTCTGCAAAGTGGCACCCTCCCCTCAGTGGGGTATTCCATCCAGGCGGTCATCCTCTTTTTTCCATTTACGGTGCTGCCTGTCGCCATTACCCCTCCTTGAACATTTTGCGAATAGCCTCAACGCCTTCGATGCTGCTGGCATCTTCTGTCCCGTTCGTAGCCCACAGCATCTAAGGAAGTTCTAGATCCTTGGAGCGAGAAGGCGACAGCGTGGGCCGCCAGACATAGGTCGCCCCCTCACCGTCTCCAATCCCGTCTCTGGTGCCTGGACTGGCGCTGGCGCCTACTTGCAGGCTGCCCTGCGGCAGACTAAGATGCGGGCAGCGCCCGGGCAGGCAGCTTGGGTTGGTCAGCCCCGGGCAAGGCCGCGAGGTCCCTGAAGTGAAGGCCACTAGGTCCCACCCTCCCGCGAGGCTGAAAGTGAGGCGTCCTTCCCCGTGTCACTCAGTCTGCCTGTGCCAACGCATCGACACCCATGCTGAAGCTGCAATTATTGGCACACCAGGGCTGTCGCACGGTCCATGTCTTGTTGCGACATTGACAGCTTGGTCCGGGGGGCCTTCAGATCACATATTAGACCATGTTTGCCTGCGTTGACCGGGGCTATTGATCACATTCCTGGGGAGTTGCAGTGAGGACGCAGGGCGTAAGCACAGCCGGCCATCCAGCTCAGAAACATCTTTCTATGGGCTTCTCCCGGCTTCCATGAGCTTTCCTTGTCTTGGTAACTAGCAAGGCCTCACCTCGGCGTCAATAACACTGCGCAATCCAGAACGAGGCTCTCGATTTCTCTAGTATGGTCCATCTCACAACAGAAACCAGGTCCCAAAACCGTCTTACAAGCATCTATCCTCTAACCCTGTAATGAGCCGGTTTTTCTGGAAAATAATGCAAAACAGAAAGATCGCAAAAGAACTTTCCAATCACAATCATGTTCGTTTCCGGGCTTCTCAAGTAGATCTGCATGCAGCTAGGTCCACTCCTGGATCTTTGTTGTTTTTTAAACACTATCAAACTCCGGCAGCCGGCATCGTGACCGCCGGGCGACTAATCGGACGCCGGATCGCATCCACCCCGTAACTCCGCATTTCCGATGAAACGGCCCGGCCTCCCGCAACGCCAACGGCTACCCCGTCCGTCTGGCTAGGCACATGAATCATCGCAAACCCTCTGTGTCGCGTACATGTCAATTTGTCCTCAGATGATGACGAGGACCCGGAAATATTGAGATTCGCTCGAGTCTGACAATCCCCTCTCATGTTGTCGATGCACTTGGCTCCTGTCGTTTTGTCACCTTTCCTTGAACGACTCAGCTCTATGTTTGCTTCCTTGTTGGAATCACTGATTTAGACCTGGTAAACCCCTAAA